ATGGCTTCTACCTCCGTCACCCACAGAGCAGGGCCCGTGGGGGGTGGGGGTTGGGGCGCCGCCTTTATCACCCACAGAGCAGGGCCGATCAGGTGGTTGGGGCGCTGCACCCTGTCACACACAGAGCAGGGCTGATCAGGGGGTTAGGGCGCTGCACCCTGTCACACACAGAGCCACAGGGCGATCAGGGGGTTGGGGAGCTACCCCCTATCAGGCACAGAGCAGGGCTGATCAGGGGGTTGGGGCGCCTTCCCTTGTCACGAACAGAGCAGGGTGGATAGGGAGGTTGTGGCCCCGCCCCCTGTCACACACAGAGCCGCAGGGCAATTAGGGGGTTTGGGCGCTGCCCCCTGTCACGCTGATCCTGGTGCTGGGAGGCCTCGCGGCTCTGCTGATCCGGTGCCGGGAGGCATATTACCCTTTTACTATATAGAATAGAGGCCTGGTGCATGGGTGGGGGCTGGCTGGTTTGCCCTGAAGGGTGTCCTGGATCAGGGTGGGGGTCCCCACTGGGGTGCCTTGCCAGTCTGGCTGAGGGGCTGAGGGCCGTTTTCAGGCTGGCGGGTGACTAAAGCTCCCAACCGCTCCTTTTTTTCTTTTTCTTTTTTTTTATTCTGGGCCAGCTTTAGCTCTGAGGCCTGGGCTGCTGAAAGCCGGTTTCTGGCCTTTGTTTACCTTCTGTATTTGATACAATGTTGCGGTCAGGCTGGCTGAAGCCCGGCTGACTAAAGCTGGTATCTGGGGTTTTGTTTAGCTTCTATATTTGCAACATATTTGCTTAGAGTTGCAGCTAAGAGGCCGGCAAGGCAGGCGGGGAACGTTGGAGTCCGCCATCACTGGAGCAAGCAAGCCTCCCTGTTCGCTTCAAGCTGCCTGGCTGCCGGTCGCCATCTTGGCTTGCAGTTAATTTGCATATCACCCTGATTAGCCAATGGAAAGGGTAGCGGCCGTATGGCTAATTACCATGTTTCTCTTTTATTAGATAGGATATATTTCTCTTTTTATTTAATATTAGATAGTTTTATAGATAATAAAAAACTTTATCATATTTGATTTCATTATTTTCAGTTTATACACTTCTTGAAGCATCTTTTAGAGTTTTCCTCCTCTTATTTAGTAATTGTTTTCAGTGTTGGTCTTAATGTGGCAAAACTTCTTAGCAATGTGTGGATCAGAAAATATTTTCATCATGCATTATTTTTGTCTTACAATTTGGATATAAAGTTCAAGTTCAATGTTCTTTATTCTTTAATACTTTGAAAATATTATTCTGTTATTCTTTTGCACCCTGTGCTGCTGATAATATAACAGAACTGATCAAAACAAAACTGATACCAATCCTATATATTAAAGAGGTAATATGCAAATTAACCCTCATGCACTCACACGATGGCTGCCTATGACCAGGCTGGCAGGGGGGTTAATGAGGGACGACCAAAAACTGAACAAGCAGGCTGCATGTGGTGACCAGGCCGGCAGCGGGGGCAGTTGGGGGCGACCAGGCCTGCAGGGGGGGTAATGAGGGATGAACAAATGACTGAACAGCAGGCTGTGTGGGGCGATCAGGCCGGCAGGGGGTGCAGTAAGGGGCAACCAAGCTGGTGGGGGGGCATTTAGGGGCGATCGGGCAGGCATGCAGAGGCAGTGAGGGCAATCATGCCAGCAATGGTGGGGACAGTTAGGGGTGACCAGGCAGGCAGGCAGGTAAGTGATTAGGAGCCACTGGTCCGGGATTGTGAGAGGGATGTCTAACTGCCAGTTTAGGCCCAAACCCCTAAACCGGCAGTTGGACTTTCCCTGAGGGGTCCCAGATTGAAGAGGGTGCAGTCTGGGCTGAGGGACACGCCCCCCACCCCCATGCACGAATTTTGTGCACCGGGCCTCTAGTCTCATTATATACTAGTATGAATGACTCTTTTATTGCCTTTCCCTTTTCAGTTTTGTTAGTTTATGCTTCATGTATTTTTGGAGTTCTGTTATTAGGTGCATAGATGTTTAGGATTTATTACCTTTTTATTATAAAACAAAGTTCTTTATCCCTGGAAATAAAGAGGCTCTGGAATCTTTGTTGATATTAAAATAGCTACTCCAGCTTTCTTTTTATTACTATTAGCATAGTATATTTTTTCCTGTCCTATAATTTTTTAAACCTTTGACTTTAAACATGTTTGTATAAACGTTTTTAATCAAAATGGGTTTCTTGTATATAACATATAGTGGGGTTTTGCTTTTTGTCCATTCTGACCTCTGCCTTTTAACTGTATTGTTTTAAATATGTATATGTACTGTGATTATTGATATCACTGAGTTTAAATCTTTCATCTTGGTATTAGTTTTTTTTATTTCCTCATCTATTCATATACCTTCTGTTTTTCTTTTCCTGCCTTGTCTTGGATTATCTTTTATTATTCCATTTTGTCCCCTTTACTGACTTGTTTGCTATACTCTGGAAGCATTAACATTTTCTTTATATTTGATATTCTTAAATTTCTCTATATTGTGTCTAGGTGTGGGTTTCCTTCTCTTCACTCTTTGGTAACCTATGCTCATTCAGTATCTCTGTTTTTTTTCCTTTAACTATGACCTCTTTACCTTTTTCTTTCTTTCTTGTTTTTCTATTATGTGAGTACCGAAAATCCTAAGTACTGAACATCTCTTAGCTTTTCTTTCATATTCAATTTTTTTCTTGTCTTTTCCTACTTCATGTTGGGAGATTTCCTCATTCTGATCTTTCAGTTTGATCCCTTTTTCTTTATATCCATTTCATATTTTCCCATCTATTGCATTGTGTTTCATTTCTCCTAATTATTACTTAATTCTTGTTTTTAAAAAATGTTTTCTTATTTCTCATTGCTAATATCTTTTCTTATCTCTTTAATATATTAATTGGCTAATTTAAACGTCCTTGGTTCTCTGTTCTGTTTATGTTGGGATCTGTAATTGAGATATGTTGTTTCTTTGTGAAATAAATACCTTGTTATTTTGAGCAATGAGCTTATTTTCTACTGGGGATCCTGGCTAACCTGTCAGGCAGACCCTTAGAGAGAAACACCAGACTCCAAATTACTCAGCTCTGATGACATCAGGAGTGAGTATATTGTCTCTTGGGTAGAGAGCCCCAAGCACCAGAAAACTAGTAGCTGCCTCTTCACTCCTGAAAACAACTCCACCCTTCAGGTCTTCAATGTTACCTAGAGGGGGACACCCATTAGAAAGCCATGTTGTACTCATTAGAGTGTATTCCCAGACTTCAGAATTTGGAATGGCAGGGTAAAGGCTGCATCTCTTCCTAAATCAAATAGGAATAATCAGATCACAATTCAAAAATGTAGTCTTTTAAAATGAAAGAATAAAAGGCCTACTTGAACTTACCTCCCAAGTAGCACACAGATTTGTCTTGTGAAATATCCAATTGCCTTTCTTATCTTTAGGAAAAATTTCATCTCCAGGCTGAGAAAGTAAAACAAGAACAAATATAATTCATTTTATTTATATCTGGGAATTGAAATGATGGAATTTGAATTGTCTTTAGGCCAATATACCCTAGCTCTGGGAAAGCAATTCAAGTTTAATTATTTATATCCTATATAATAAAAGCCTAATATGCAAATTGTCCCCTTGACCGGGAGTTTGACCACTTGTTATGATGTGCGCTGACAAGCAGGGGGTGGCACAGAAATGGTGGGTGTTGGTGACACAGTGCTAGCAGCTGGCGGCAGTGGAGATGCTACCAGCCCCGATGGGACCTGACGTGAGTCGGACCTCGGTGGGATGGTGGAGGAGGTGAGTGGATGGTGCCAGCCGTGGCAGGATGGGGCGGGGCTGCCGCCTTGCTCCAGGCACTGAGGAGCCCCGTTGGGGGGAGTGCCGGCTATGACTGATTGCTCCTCAGACAGTGACCAGTAGCGGCGGCAGGGGTGGGGCCACTGCCGGAATTTCTAATTGAAATTTTGCATATTCCTCCTTTGTATGTTTGCCCTGCAGGCAGGATGGTAGAGCAGGTGATGGGGCAGCACCAGGACAAGGCGGGGTGCCAGGTGGGGCTGTGGGAGCTGCAAGGATGGGGGCGCGAGCTGGGGCTGTGAGGCTGGGGGCACGACCTGGGGCTCGATCCCCACAGGCCGCACCGAGGGACCCCACCCGTGCACGACTTTGGCCACTGGGCCTCTAGTGTTTACATAATTATATAATAAATTATATTTATATATATATTTATTACTTTTATGGGACTGTCCAAAAATTCTTTCATTTTGCCAAAATATGTGACACATTAATCTCATTATCCTATACTGGCATTCATTTTCTCTTTACTTATCCACAGATTATTGTTCTTAAGCCATGAATTTTCTCCTAATTACAGAATTACTCATCAGAAACAGTAGAGCCCTAACCGGTTTTGCTCAGTGGATAGAGCCTCAGCCTGCGAACTCAAAGGGTCCCAGGGTTGATTCCAGTCAAGGGAATGTACTTTGGTTGCGGGCACATACCCAGTGGGGAGTGTGCAGGGGGCAGCTGATCAATGTTTCTCTTCATCAATGTTTCTAACTCTCTATCCCTCTCCCTTCCTCTCTGTAAAAATCAATAAAATATATTTAAAAAAATAGCAGATTTTGAGACTCAGTGTTTTGACAGTCTAAAGTTGAGGAGAGCACGGCATGTTACTTCTCAGTTCTGGCGGACTTGCTCACTGGTTTTTTTCCTTTCATTTTTGGGCCCTCCAGGAGTTCAGCATTTCTTTTTCCTACTTAACACCATAGCTAGTGTCAACTCCCTTTTATGGTTTTGGGATGATGCTTTCCCAACTAAGGTTAACTGGTGTGGAACGTTATCTTTCAGATTTCTCTTTTTTGGCTGTATCTAAACATGCGACTCATTTCTTATGGGCTTGAAAATGGAATAGAGAGAAATGAAGATGATTCCTAGGCTCCTGGGGTGGATGTTGGTAATCATTTCCTGAGTTTGGGTTAGCAATCAAGAGTTTTTTATGAATATTTTGAGTTTGAAATGACCAAATGTTCAAGTGGCTAATTGAGAAAGCAGTTGAACAGAGAAGTCTCAGAAAGATGCTTAGATAGAGGCCATGGCTGTAGACAAAATTTGGTAGCCCTTACATTTAAAATAATAATCCTTGCAACTATATGAAGTCATTTATAGACACAGTGTGGCTCAGTAAAAGAAGAATATTGAGAATAGAAGTACTATTCTGGGCATAACAACATTTGGAGGTTGGCAGAGAAGCTGCCAAAGAATCAAGAGAGCGTGGTATTATAGAAGTCACAAGAAGAAAAAGTGTACAGGAGATAATGGTCAACTGTGTTGAAAGATATCCTATATAATAAAATCCTAATAGGCAAATCAACGGAACAGCTGAAGGACTGGTTGCTATGATGTGCACTGACCAGCAGGGGGCAGACGCTTATTACAGGAGCTGTCCCCTGTGGTCAGTGCACTCCCACAGGGGGAGTACCACTCAGCCAGAAGCCGGGCTCACAGCTAGTGAGCACAGTGGGGGTGATGGCCAGCAGACGGACATCCCCCAAGGTGTCTGGACTGCGAGAGGGCACAGGCCGAGCTGAAGGACCCCCCTAAGTGCATGAATTTCATGCACTGGGCCTCTAGTCAAATAATAAGAGGATACAGTGTCTATTTGGTATGGTTGGCAGCATTGAAGTCTTTTTAGGATAATAGGAATTTTTATTGAAAATCAAACAATTGGACAAAATTCATTATATTATTTTTTTTCTTCTACATCTCACCTGACAAAACATTCCCCTCGTGATAACACTTTCTTTAGCAAACACAGTTTTGACTCAGTTTCCTCCTGTCTCACTTATTCCTCAATACCACATAATCATTCATGCTAATTACCCGTTCTCTCTTTGCTTCCCAAGCCCTTTGTACTTCTCAACACTATGGCCCACATTTCCAGTCCAGTCTCTCTCCTTATTTCTTGCCTTTTGCATTTCCCAATTTTATTTCTGCTCAGAATGGTTTTATGCCTCTATCATACACTGTGTTAAATATTTTTTACTTACCCTGATTTTTATTAAGTCCTTATCATTTCTGAGCCCATGTTAGCTATTTCCATGATGTTCCTCTTAAGCTTCCATTGTGCCTACCTTACTCATCCCTCATCCGAATCATTCCATGGTCTCTCTCCCTCTACTCCTGCTCCTACTGTAAGACAGTATTAGAAGAATAATTCAACCCTCTAAAAATCCATGCTATTGATTTTAATTCCTGTTCATCAGTAACTTAATTTATCTTTTAAAAATGTCATTCCTCATTTAAGAGCATAAGGCAGAAGGGGCTGTACAGTGTAGAAGCACAAATATGGGATTGGCATCAGGGGATCAAGGATCTGGTCTCAGTCTGATGGATTTTAAACCTGAGTTAGCTATTTCATTGCCTGGGGCTTCAACCTTTTCTTTTGTGAACTGAAGATATTCTGTATATTGGAATATATATTTCCACCTGAAGATTTTATAACATTTTATTAGCTATGAAATGTCAGGCACTGTGTCTGTAATTTCACATATATAACACTAATGACTCCTCACAATACTTGGCAAATGAGTTGGTATCGTCTCCAATTTACCAATCATGAAATTGAAGGAAAGTTCAGGAATATCAAAGACAATATGCTAATACGCTATAAAGCTGACAGTCAGTCCCTCTTCTGTGTGACTCCAAAGTTCATACTCTTTCCACTGGACCATGTTTAGGTGATATGTAAAAGGATCAGGTAATAACTTGACCAAGTTATCTGGCGCACATGTGACAGAGCTGGGATACAAACAAGGTGCCCTGAATCTGTAGCCCATGCTTCATACCACCATGCTTGCTATGTGACCTCTGATTAATGAGTGCAATGGAAATCGGTTATTTTGCTTTCTACTCTCCTTAACCTTCTTTATAGAGGAGCTCATTGCACATTGTGTGGGCTGACCCAGCTCCAATTCTTGGCCACAGATGTCAGACACCAATGCCCTTACACAAAGATTAGTCAGCAAAAGTTATGTGACCCAAGCAAGGCTGATCTGTGTTTCTTTATGAGGTTTAATGTGTAGTTTCTCTTCCTCTAAATTCTTAAGTTGTATTGATAAGGAAGGATTGGCATGTCAGTGGGCATTTGCCATCATATAGAAAGAGATTTTTGAGAAAGGGCCAGAGTGTAGATACATAGTTTGAACTTCTGGATCCAGTCCTTTGGAATTAGATATGCCTTGGAATTCTTAGTTCCATTTTTTGCTAATGCCAATTTGAGTTGGGTTTCTGCCATTTATAACAAGAGTTCTGACCAAAACAAAGGTGTTGGGTATAGCAAGTAATGAACAAAGAGTGTGGAATTGGGTAGGTCAGTATGGGATTGTGGATAGTGAGGATTCTCCAGCTGAGAATTGGATATTCTTGCTATGCAATAGCATGGCATCTTGTTAAATTGTTGCCTTGTTGTGCCTTGAGACTCTGACAATGGGCATACTAAGATTGGAGCTTTAGGGCACTTAGTAGGAAAACATTGGGTGTTAGAGTTTGTTGGCCATTTTTGCAGTCTTCAGTCAGGTCCTGAAGAAATATAAATGTGTTTATTGCTACTTGGCTTGTAAGATGAGTGGTAAGATCATATTTTGCTAAAACAGGTACTTTCTGCTTCTAGATGCCTCCCCAAATGGCAGAAGTTCAGCTCTGAGCCTTCTAGAGTTAGAAAAGTCTGTGTCAGCCAGGAAAGGAAGTAAGAATCCTAGAGGGAAATAAAATTGGACTTTGGGAGAATCCTTGTCCATTTCTTTCTGAAGGTAAGATCTCAGGCCAATGATGCCACACCCAACAAAGGAGCACCATCCAATGAGATGGAGACTGGGTGCAAAGAATGCATGACCTGTGCCTCCCTGTTTTGTATTATTTCAAGTCAGAAGGGGCATTAAGCTAAGGACTGATCAGATGAGCGAGAATAGGATATTTCTTTACTAAGATTCAGAAACCACAGGCTAAAGATTAGATACAAGAAGATTTCTAGTTTTAATTACTCTTTAATGGAGCTGACTGAATGTGAATTTTCTGAAAGCCAAGCAAATTTTTGAGGTATATTGACTGTCCACGAAGTCCCAAACTGGCCTTTGCTTAACCAAGGCCATTGTGAAGCTTGCAAATTTGTATGAAGAATGCAAAAGGGGAATCTTTCCCAAAGTTCCTCTTGGATGTTACCATAGAGAAGAGTCATCAAGGAAAGAGCTTCCAGAGAACAGAACAAGGGCAGCCAGGTTGCTTGTGAGAAGGAAATCTGGGCACCTCAATGACCAGTTTCATTTTCAGTCTCTCCTTTCTCGGAGACATTTGAAAGCAGTAGGGATGTGTTGTTGGTGGTTAAATTAACACAGAGTCCATAGATTGAGAAAGTTTAAAGAAGAAGTGCATTTGAACCAGAGGAATAGCTATCACCATGATCTCGTTGCTGACCCCCCAAAAAACCTGATCAATCTTTGGGTTATTTCCCTTTTTGGGGGTGGAAGGTGAGTAAGTTTTCAGTTGTATATATTATTTTGCGTTTTGTCGTGCAGAGATATTTTCAAGTCTATATGAGTGGGAAGAAGGGTGTGTCTGGATGCTGGACAGTTAAAATATGGAGCACTGTTTGGTGACTATGTGATGGATTGATGGAGAGAATTTAAACTACAGTTATAAAAACATGTTGTAATAGAAAGTGCATTGGATTCGGAATCAAGAACCATGGGATCCAAGCCTGAGTCTGTTACACATAATCTTTCTGGGCATTTGTTGGGTTAGGTCAGTCCTGTCTGACCTACAGTAACAAAACGATAATATTCTGTGGTGCTAAGTAATGAACTAGCTTTGTGCACCTGGCTGCTGGCTCATGGCTGCCAAAGAGCAGAGGCCAAACCTTTAGGTGTCTGAACTCACCTTAAAAGCCATGGGCGTTTCCATGATGTAAAGATCAACATAATCTAGGTGGACGTCCTGGAGTGTCTTCTGCAGGGCTGGGAGGACTCTCTGTGGGTCAAAATCTGTACCCCACAGCTGAAAGAATAAAAAGGGGATAGTTAATGACATCCACTCTCTTTAAAAGAAAAGGGTACTGCTCTTTATTCTTTACAATGCATTCATTCATTTTACTGCATAAAAATGTTTATGCTGAAGTTTCATCTGAGAATAGGATAAGCTGATATAACTCTTGACACCCATAGTATAACTTTATCAGACTATAATATCAGAACTGCCTTAGCTGGTTTGGCTCAGTGGATAGAGTGTCAGCCTAAGGACTGAAAGGTCCCGGGTTTGATTCCAGTGAAGGGCACATTATTCCAGCCCGGGTTGCAGGCTCGATCTCCAATGAGGTGCGTGCAGGAGGCAGCTGATCAATGATTCTCTCTCATCATAGATGTTTTATCTCTCTCTCCCTCTTCCATCATCTCTGAAATTAATAAAAAAAATATTTTAAAAATGAATATAATACCAGAATATGTATCCATATGTTCATTGCAGCATTATTTACAATAGCCAAGATATGGGAGTAATTCAAGTGCCCATCAGTAGGTCAGTGGATAAGGAAGTAGTGTACATATGCAATGGAACATGACTGAGCCATTAAGAAGAATGAAATATTGCCGTCTGCAACAGCATGGGTGGACCTACAGGATACTGTGCTGAGTGACATAAGACAAAAAGAGAAAGGGAAATGTCATATGATTTCACTTATACGTATTATCTAAAAAACAAAATAAATCAACCAACAGCAACAGATAAAGACTCACAGATGCAGAGACCATTTGAATGGTTGCTAGATGGAAGGAGAGTTGGGGGGATATGTGAAAAACATGAAGGGATTAAGAAGTACAAATTGGATTTATAGTAACAGGATAGTCATGGGGTTGTGAAGCATAGCATAGGGAATCTATATGAATAAAAGCCTATGTGGTTGTCACACCCTCACGCTGTCACAGTGTAACAATCCATCACCTGGAGACTGTGTGTGCAGCAGATGCATGTGGGTGGGCGGGGATTTGACACTGTGTGCGTGGTGCAGAGGAAGGTCCCGAGGCTCCACCCAGCAATGCCAGAGGTGGGACCCCTGGCTCTGGCCTACCTCTTTGGGGAAATCCATTGAGAAGCTCTGGATGCGTGGGCGGGGCCTACCTCTTTGTGGAGATCAATCGTGGGGCTAACGCACTGTGTGAGGGCACAGGCCAGGCTGGGGACCACCCCCCCCCCCCAGTGCACAAATTTCATGCACCGGGCCTCTAGTATAGTTAATAGTATTGTAATAACTATGTATGGTCTCAGATGGGTACTAGATTCAACAGGGTGAGCACTTCGTAAGTTATTTAAATGTCTAATCACTGGGTTGTACACCAGAAGCTAATATAATATTGTACATTAGCTGTAATTGAAAGATAAATAATTATTTTTAAAATAAGAATAACGGACCAGAGACGTAAAGATTCACCTGAACCACAGAGGACCTAATTTGGAGACAAGCCTTCTTCTCTGCAGTGCTAATTTCCTAATTGACTCTCAGTACTTAAACTTTTCCTCACTGTGTAACTAGGAAGCATGTACCTGAATAGTTGTGCTGACCTGGCCCCTTTATTTTCATGTCACTCTGATAAAGGATGTGCTTCATTTGAGCAAGAAATATGATTGTGTGGACATCTTCACTGGATCCTTCACATTGTCACAGGCAATGCAGAAGCTGGTTAACATTTAAATTATTGCAAAGATTTAGATTTCCTCTTACTGGTCTTTTGTTCTCATTTGGTTGTACTCAGACTCCAGGGAAATTTTGTCAATTCCTACTAAGAAGTTACGGGATGTCTATTTGAAATGATAATGTCACCAACACGGCAGGGTATGAGACCCCAGACTTATCCCACAACAAGGCCAACAATTAGAAAGCTAACCCTGAGTGAAATGGGGAGATGTTGGTCAAAGGGTATAAACTTCTAGTTATAAGATGAGTAAGTTCTGGGGAGCTAATGTACAGCATGGTATTTGAGGTTAATAATACTGTATTGCATACTTTAAAGTTGCTAAGAAATAGGTCTTAAATGTTTCTCACCATAAAAAAGGATGGTAATGATG